GAATCACTGATAGCTAAAAGACTTCAATTTTGAAGTAGGGGATAATGCTGGCTGTTTCAAACCTTTCTCACTCTCCAGTTCCAAGGACTTCAATAGATGCTTCAACAAGATTGGGGATTAAATTCCATCTACATTCTTAGGGATATACACTTTTGGAAAGAAATAACAGAGGTCTTCAAGAATGAATATCCATGGGGCGCCTGGGTGGCTCAGTGGGTTAAGCCTCTGCTTTTGGCTCAGGTCATGATCCCAGGGTCCTGGGATCGAGCCCCACATCGGTCTCCCTGCTCAGCGGTGAGCCTGCTTCCCCCTCTCACTCTCTGCCTGTCTCTCTGCCTACTTGTGATCTCTGTCTGTCAAATAAATAAATAAAATCTTAAAAAAAAAAAAAAAGAATGAATATCCATGACTTTTGCTACAACTTTTCACCTTTGGCATAGTGCTGTATTAGAAATAAGGGACCTTAACTGGCCCTTTCCTTCTATAAAGAAATAGCTGGGGATTTCACAGAGGTTCTAGGAGTGGTTGGTTTGCTCCTCGTTGTTTGCAAAATATTGTGCATTGTTAGATAGTATGCTAAGTCAAAAGAAGGATTTCCATTCAAAAGCTTTTGTCCCATGCGTTCTACCTTATTTAGCTTTCAGCTGGAAAATTTCAAATCTTGTTGCATAAAAGTCAGGAGGTTCTCAGGCATTTTATTCTAACTTTTTAGAAACATTTTTGTTTGTTTGAGATTGGTGATTATCTTTGATTATTCAATATATACAAAAATACATGATTATATTCTTGGGAAAAATTTGTGACTTTACTAATACATTTTATTAAGCATCTAGAGGTATACTAGGCACAATTCCAGGGACTAAGGATTTATTCACGAACAAAGCAAGTAAAAAGCCATGCCCTCATAGAGTTTACATGGTAGTGGAAGGAGAAAAGCAAACATAAGAAATAGGGAAATTATACGTGTCAAAAGGTGATAAGAGCTCTCAAAAAAATAAGCAGATCAAGAATGCTAGTAGAAGGTACTGCAATTTTAATTTGGGAGGTCAGGGTAGGCCTCACTGAGAAGTTACTATTTGAAGAAAAACTTGAAGGCAGTGAAGGAATGAGCCATATATATAAATAGGGGAAGATCATTCTGGGTAAAGGGAAGAGCTAGTGCAAAGACCCTGAGGTGGGTCAGTATACGTACGTTTGAGGTACAGCAAGGAGATAGGTCTGGCCACATTACAGTTAGCAAAGGGAAAAGTGATAGAGAAGTAGGTGTGGAAGAGATAAAGGTCCTTGGCTTTTACTCTAAGAGAAATAGGAAAATATATAAATACACATTGGGAAATCTTTAAACAACAGAGGTATATGTTGTCAACAAGCCATCCCTACCTCCTAATCTCATACTACCCAGAGATTGCTGCCATTTTGGGTCATGTTTTTCAAAAGTTTTTTCTTTTTTTTTTTTTTTCCAGAAGTTTTTTCTATGTGATTATATACATTGATGGGTACATATAAAAACATGTAGTTTTATTTTGTAATGTGTTAGCAACTTGTTTTTTTACAATTAATATATCTTGGAGATCTTTCTTTGTCAAGACAGTACATATATTTCTACCTCATTCTTTTAAACTGTTGTATAATATTCCATTGTATGCCTATGCTACATTTTATTTAACCATATCCTAAAGGGGTAAACATTTAGATTCTAATTTCTTTGCTCCTTTCCTACTTTCCTTCCCCAGTCCCTTGCTACCTTCCTTCTTTTCTTTTTTTTTTTACTGCATTACTTTTGTCTTAATATTATATTTAATAACATAAAATTATATTGCATGAAATACAGGAGAAAATTTGAAAATTAGTTTGTGTTACTTTCTGTCAGAAAAGCAATATTTGTTTCCTTAAATTGGAATCACTTAGGTTTGCCTCAGTGGAAGAGAGGCTTTAGTTATTTCTAAGCAAGCATTTATCTAATGTTTATTATTTTGGAATAAAAGGGAATCCTGAGAGCTGATGCCCCATTACTCTGAACCTTTCTAGGAGCTTGCTGGGTCATCTTAGCCAAGTCAGCCATAGGTCTACATCAGTAGAACTGAGGATCCAGGATCCCTAATCTATGCTGGGTTCTCCTTTCTACCCCTACCTGCTTCCTGAACCAATCTGATTTTCAGCCAGCTCTCCTGTTAGGGCATGTGTGTTAGTCTTGTCTGCCTAACCCATGGAGGACAGATACTGTGTCATGTATTCCATATTTTCCCCAACAATGTCTAGGTGATTCTAGAATCATGGTTATTTATTTTAATATGTCTTAATTATCCTTAAAATTGTATATGCAAAGTTAGCTCTATTTGGTTTAAAATAAACCTTGGAAATGGCAAGATGGAACTAGAGGGTATTATGTTAAGCGAAATAAGTCAATCAGAGAAAGATAATTATAGGGGCGCCTGGGTGGCTCAGTGGGTTAAAGCCTCTGCCTTCAGCTTGGGTCATGATCCCAGGGTCCTGGGATTGAGCCCTGCATCGGGCTCTCTGCTCAGCGGGAGCCTGCTTCCCCTTCTCTCTCTGCCTGACCCTCTGTCTCCTTGTGATCTCTGTCTGCCAAATAAATAAATAAAATCTTTAAAAAAAGAAAAGAAAGATAATTATCATTTGATCTCACTCATATGTCAAATTTAAGAAACGAGCAGAGGATCATAGGGAAAGAAAGGAAAAAATTAAATAAGATAAAACCAGAGAGGGAGACAAACCATAAGAGACTCTTAATCATAGGAAACAAACGGAGGGTTGCTGTGGGGGAGGGAGGTGGGGGAGTAAGGTAACTGGGTGATAGAATAAACCTTGGAATAAAACTTCTGCCATCTGTACAGATTTATCAACATGTTTTATCAACATGTACCATTGAGGGATGTCAGGGTGGCTCAGTTGGTTAAGCATCTGCCTTCGGCTCAGGTCATGATCCCAGGGTCCTGGGATCAAGCTCCACATCTGGCTCCCTGCTCAGCTGGAAGCCTGCTTCTCCTTCTCCCTCTGCCGGCTGCTCCCCCTGCTTGTGCTCTCTCTTTCTGTCAAATAAATAAATAAAATATTTAAAAGTAAGTAAATAAATAAATGTACCATTGATTAGGAGGTTTGTAACTTTGCCCTGGTTGCTTTTTACCTTTAGGCCTTGCTTAATACAGACAGTTGTGCTAACTAGTAAAATGCACATGTGCCTTGCTTAATTACATTCCAGGCAAGATACAGCATCTCTGCTTTGTCTATGTGCTTACATCACAGCAGAATAGTCAACTGTGCAATAACTAGGAAAATTATCACGCAGGATTATAGTAATACCACATAAACGATTCCTCAGCCTTATTCATGTTTATGATAAAGAATGAAATGACGTTTGAATCCTCAGTGGTACCCAGTGGGTATCAATAAATGCTAGTTTCTCTTCTCTCTTCAAAAGGAAATAATCAGCTTTATAAATTTAAAAAGGAGGGGTGCCTGGGTGGCTTAGTTGGTTGAGTGTCCAACTCTTGATTTGAGCTCAGGTCATGATCTCAGGCTCGTGGGAACGAGCCCCACATTGGGCTGCATGTTGAATATGGAGTCTGCTTAAGAGTCTTTCTCTCTCCCTCTCTGCCTCCCCCTGTTTGGTCTCACTCTCTCTCTAAAAAAATAAAAATTATAAAAAGAAAATGTAGAACACATTAAGAAGAAGTCCAGATATATCCACAAAGATGGCAGAAATTTTACTGCAAGAAGAATAATCTCATATATTTCAAATACACAAAGATGTGTTATGTGATTAAAATGTAAATTTATTTAAAAGAGTTACCTATGTTATTCTTGGCAGTATGTATTTTCTCTTCAGGGGTTCCTAAAGTGCAACTATAACCGTGAGGGAGGAGGGATCCTCCCAGATTAAAAACTGATCCCCACATTAAAAAAAACAGCAGCAACAAAAACAACAACAACAAAAAACAACTGTGAAGGAGCTATTTCTTTATGATTACAGAGTTTCTGTTTGGGGAGATGAGGAAGTTTTAGAGATAGATAGTAGTGGCAGTTACATAACATTCTGAATGCAATTTATGACACTGAACCAAACACGTAAAAATGGCTAAAATGCATATTTTCTTATTTTACCACCATTTAAAAAATAATAAAAATAAATAGGTAGAATTTATTAACACATCAAGATTTTTTTTTAACTTTCATTTCAATCATTATTTATTGAATGCCGGAAGAAGGTGGAGGAAAACAAATATATTTATTGAGTGCCTGATTTGTGCTTAGGTATGAGCAAAAGAAGACTCAGAATGGTGACTTAAATATAAAGAGAACTTAAATCATGGCGAGCTCAGTCGTTGACATTTTGCACATCTCATATTATTGTGCCAATCTGTGTAGGGACAGCATCATTGTGCTCACCCTTTTGTAACTGAGGAAGCGTGGGTGAAAAGACTTGTCAAGACTAGTAAAGAGAGGGACCAGAAGCTCTTAGTAAATGTCCTATTATTTCACTTAACACCATCACGTTTTCAGAAGATGAAATACTTATTTAATATGGTCTTACCTTCCTATTATATTTCTGGGTTAGAAAAGGAGAACATTAGAAGACTAGCATGTTTGAAATACAGCTGCTCTTTCCTTTTCAATCGCTGGTGGGTCTTTGCCTTGAAACCTAACTCTTGTCTTTGCTTTGGTTTCTTTCACTTCCTTTTAAACATGTTATCTTCTTGTTTGCATTCTTTTTGCTAGAAGGCAGGACCTATTATGAGAGGAGACACCCCCCACCTCCATTTCGTCAGAGCTAGCGAAAGACAGGAAGTTTACACAGAGCACAACTATTTGCTAGGATTGGTTTTGATTCTTCCTCAAGTTGTTGCTAGTGTCGGAGATGCTGTTACCAGGGTTCTGTTTCACAAAGAGAAAGATAAAAATATCTCTCTGACACGTGCCTTTTCTCTCTTCCCCATCCTCTTGCCCGGAATGCCGGAAAAGGATCCCAGAAAGATTGGAGGCATTAGGTCATCAGTTTGAATCTCAGTAGTCAAGAAAAAAATGTGGGTAATGCCGGGCTCCTAGGGGAGAAGGAGGGAAATCAGGGAGAGATGAGAACTGTTCATTTCCACCCCTGGCCATTTCCTCAAGGCTAGTTTCTTTGGAAAGTCTTGGTCTTTTTGGTCCTTGCAGGACCTTGCTGAGGGGCTGCTACGTTTTCTCCCTGGTTCTTGTCCTTGTGCCCGAGGGCTGGCAAGAGGAAACTCCTGGAACTTTAAGGGACATGGATCTGGGGCTGAAGTCTCTATAGGAAAACCTACCAGGGTAGAAGTCTCTGCATCACCGCTGCCTCCCTACGAAGGTTGGGCTGCTTTCCATCCAGCATCGCACGTCCTAACTGAAGTGAGTTGTCTGTTTTTATTTTTTCAAGTGTTCGGAGTAGAGAATCTTGGTTCTTTTTGGAATGCTCTTTAACAAAGATGTCACCTAAATCAGTACTTCTCATCCTTTAATGTGAATATGAATCACTTGGACATTGAGTTAAAAGGCAGCAGAATTCCGTGGGTCTGGTTTGGGCCTGAGACTCTGCATTTCCGACAGACTTGCAGGCAGCCTCAGATCTGTGGGTCCATGAACCACGCCTTGAGTAATAAGGGCTTCAGCCCTCTAGGTTTTTTTGCTTTGGGGGGAAAAGGATTGGGAGGATGCTGGTAGAATGAAGGTATTTAACTAGGTATGTGATTTACGAAGAGCACCTGAAAAGAAAATCAGTCCCCATCCCTTACCCTGGTTGTATCTGCTCAATGGACTATCTCTAAAATTGGGGGTTTCTGTTCAACAGTTCCTAGATGTGGTAAGCCAAGTCACCCCAAGTGAGAGAGAATGTTGGACTGCTCCCTAGACTGCGTGGGTCACTTTAGGCAGAGCCAGAAATCTTTTTTTAATTTTTACAATTTAGGGGATTAAGTGTCCTATCACACCTCAACAGGTACAGCTAGTGGTTACTTTGATCATTTCAGTTTCAGTAAAAATTATGCATACTCGAAAAATAACTGATGTCTTCCACCTACCATTTTGAGGTATAAAGATTGTAAGGCCTATGAATCTACTACAAGGTTGAATGTCAATTCAAGTAAGGAACATAAGTAATATGTTTTGTTTTCTTATGAGAGGCCTTTAATCTCTCCTGGTAATATCTCCCTCTCTTAAATGATTCACATTTATCTGAAAGTCGAGTTTAATCCAAAAGAGACAAGCTAAGAAGGAAAAAATGAATAGATAGGAAGTCTACCTATTCTGTCCGTAGTTGAGGGGAGAAAATAGCAATGGGAAAAAAGGGGGAAAGTAAAGAGTGTGGTGGCTTGGGATGTCATAGCTTCAGGAAATGAATAGAAGAAACCCCAGCTTAGAAATAGAATTCTGACCCACAGACACATGGGAGTTCTTCTGGAATAGTAGCTCATGGCTTCCTCAGCCGGAGAAATATGCTTGAAACAGAATAAATTATAAATTGTGTTGTGATGAGTGAACGTGCCAAAACTATTTGTCATGAAGTCAGGGAGTAGGCACTGGGGTCAAGGGTCCGAGGAATGCGCTGGCCTCGTGAAGCGCAGTAGGAACACATTAAACCATTTCTGAGGGAGAAGAATTGCTTATGTTTGAAATAAGCTTCGAATAACATCCCTTTCTATCATTGGGGTATCACCAGAGGTGTTACTTAAAAATTTAACAACTGTGTGGCACAAACCTTGACCAGTCAGAACAGAGGTTTTTGTAAACAGCCCGCACAATAGCAACTGCTAGGCGGTGAGAATGTCTGGGACTGAACATTGGCTGAAGCTGTTACAGGTTTTAATTAAACTTTTCGGGGGGGGGGGGGAGAGAAATTGTAAAGGCACAGATGAGTTCAGATATATTAATGGTATTCCACCACCATCTGCCAAAGCTCTGGCACCATTTTCTCAGCTGAGGCCACTTCCCTCTGTTCTCTCTAGTCAAGCCCAGAGCAACCTCTCATTCCAGCTGTGTATCTCTTCCAACCTACACTGAAGAGAAATCTTGAGTCGCTGCAAGACTCAAAATCCTATCCGCTTCCTGAGTAGAAGGGAAGATGCATATAGTCTGCGGTAAGGAGTTCCAGCAGGAAAACAAACTTCATCACCATGTTATCCTTCCGTACAAAGCATCGTCACGTATCTTATCCCACATGATTTTCACAACCATCATAGGGAGCAGGTCAAAGGGCTTATTATTCTAACCTGTTAGTGAAGAAATTGAGACGCTGGTTAAGCCATTTCTTACAAGGCACATAGCTGGTTAGTGGGAGTGCTGGATTTGAACCCCAGCCTGATGGCTCCAAGGTCAGGTTTATTTTGTACTTTCTTCAACCTCTCAGGACCTTTGACATCCTGTAGTGTTCCGTACTAGGTCTGCTTTCTTTTTACGTTGGACTTAGAAAATTTTGTACGCTAAAAAGAGTTCTGTTTCTACTTCTTTGTCATTGATGCTCATGCTTGTCTTAAGCTTTGCCTCCATTAAGGTCTTTACTCCGCAGGAATAAATATTTTAGAGCAACGGGTCTCAAACTCAAACTTTATCATGCTTAAAAATCACCCGGGGAGGGTGCATGGGTGGCTCAGTCAGTGAAGCGTCTGCCTTCGGTTCAGGTGTTGCTTCTCCCTCTGTTCTTCACCCCCATCTCATGCTCTGTGTCTTTCTCATTCTCTCTCTCTCCCTCAAATAAATAAATAAAATCTTAAAAAAGAAAAAAAAATCACCTGGATTGCTTGCTAAAACTCAGCTTCCTGGGTTCTACCTCCAGAGATTCTGAGTGGGTCAGGTCCCAGATATAGAATTTGCATTTCTTTAAAGATTTTATTTATTTATTTATTTATTTATTTATTTATTTGACAGAGTGAGATCACATAGAATTTGCATTTCTAATAAGCTTCTAGATGAATCTGATGCTGCCAGCCAGCGGTCACCCTCTTAGACTATAGGTGCAGCTTGTCAGTATTTTAAAAGAATATATTTATGGTTTAGTGAGGGAGCACAATGTGCTTGATAACACAGATTATAGAGCCAGAATTTCTGGGTCTGAATATTGATGACCTCGCTTAGGCAAACTGTGCAATCCTGGGGAAGTTAACCTTTTGTGCCTGTTTCCTAATCTGTAAAATGGAGACAATGGTATGACTTACCTTGGAAGTGAGTTGTGAAGCTTAACTGACTCAGCAGTGCAGGGCTTTTGCTCTATGTGTTTGTTCTTTTATTACCAGGTCTTGCTCAATTCATAATTGTACTTTATAACAGAGACACAAACAATAAGAATTCACATAGATATCAAACACCCTTCTTTAATGTAGGTGGTATGCAGGGCTTAATCACGAGTCAAACATGCTCTTGTGAGGGTTTTTGTGAGTTAAGACCCCAGGTCGCCAGCTAGCACTTCCCACCAAGGGGAGAGAGAGCAGATGATGCTGAGAAGTTGGCTGGGGTCTGCTCACTTGGGGCCTTATGTATCATCCCAAGGGTTTGGACTTAACCATGTTAGAGTGGCAGTTTGAAGCTGGGGAGTGCAATCATAGTTACATTTTAGGAGTTGTCTTGCTGCAATGTGGGGGCTGGTTTGGAAGGAGGTGAGACTATAGACAGAGGTGTTTGAACAGACTGTGGCAATCATCCTGGAGACAGTGAATAAAGGCTTGAACTAAAGCAGTAGGGTAGGGTGCCTGGGTTGCTCAGTGGATTAAGCCTCTGCCTTTGGCTCAGGTCATGATCTCAGAGTTCTGGGACCGAGTCCCACATTGGGCTCTCTGCTCAGTGGGGAGCCTGCTTCCCCCTCTCTCTCTGCCTACCTCTCTGCCTACTTGTAATCTCTGTCTGTCAAATAAATAAAATCTTAAAAAAAAATTAAGCAGTAGGGTAAAGCTCTGAGCATCTCCCATGGTTCGTTCAAGTGAGGGAGTGGAACATAGGTCATGACTCAGGAAATATGATCTGTATTAAAACTCCTTAGCTTACATTTCTCTATGTCAAAAGTCCATGGAGGCTGAGGATGGAGTCTATGTAGTCCCAGCCCCTAGCTCCCAGAAGGTCCCTGATGGATGTTTGGTAAGTGAATGAGAGAGAGTAAGTCAAATTCTCCTTGTGTTCTACAGGTTTCTGTGATCTGGCTCTGACTTACCTCTCTAGCCTCAGCTCCTTCCTCCTCTCTAACCTTTATTCTGGTCACACATGCCTTCCTTTAAGCCTTTGAAAATGCCCAAATGTGACCTCTAGTCCAAAGAGTGTCGAAATACTGCCTCTGGAGCAAATCTGTCCTGCCACCAATTAAGATAAAGTGTTTTTGGAACACAGCCACAACCACCTGATTCTGTATCATTTATGGCTACTTTAGGGCCATAATGGCAGGTAGAGTAATTGTGACAGAGACCACATGGCCTTTGAAGCCCCAGGTATTTTCTATTTGGCCCTTTACAGAAAAAGTTCACTGATTCCCTACTCTAGTTCTTTGTAATTGCTGTGACCTCTGATCTAAATCTCTAACCTCAACAAAATTATAGTAATCAAAAAACAGTGGTAATGGCATAAATAAAAAAATACAGACCAATGAAATGGAATAGAGAGAATGTCCAATGGGGAAAAGACATTCTTTTTGACAGATGGTGCTGGAAAAACTGGATATCCACATACAAAAGAACTGTCAGACCCTTACCTTATACCTTATACCTTATACAGAAATTATCAAAATGGTTCATCAAAATGAACCAAAGACCTAACCATAACAGCTAAAAGTATAAAACTCTTAGATGAAAACATAGGGGAAAAGCCTCATGACAGTGATTTCTGGGATATGACACCAAATGCACAGGCAACAAAAGAAAAAACAGATCTTTGAGCTTCTTTAAAATTAAAAACTCGCATGTCTCAAAGGACATTATTAAGAAAGTGGAAAGACAACCCACAGAATGGCAGAAAATATTTATAAATCATATATCTGATAAGGGGTTAATATCTAGACTATATAAAGGATTCCTACAGCTCAACAACAAAAGCCAAATACCTGAATTATAAAAGGCAGAACGACTTGAGTAGACATTTCTTTAAAGATTATCTAAAAATGGGCAGTAAGCATATGAAAAGATGCTTAACATCACTAATCACAAGGGAAATGTAAATCAAAACCGTAATGAGATACCACTTCATACCCACTAGGATGGCCATAATAAGAAAAAAAAAAGAGGAAAATAACAAGAGTTGGCATGGATATAAACTGGACCCTTTGTGCTTTGCTGGTGGGAGTTTGAAGGGGCATAGCTGCTATAGAAAAGTTTGGCAATTCCTCAAAAGATTAAACATGATGTTACCATACGATCCAGCAATTCTACTTCTGGGTATAT